GGGGGGGGGGGAGGACCCGAGCCCGCTTCTCCCCTTGCCTGCGATTTTTGTTTTACCCCTTTCGGTCTAGCCGAGACTCGGAGTACCCTATGGAAGCACCTTCCATCTAAACGATGCATGTCCACACGATCGCATCCATTTGTTTGTTTCGGCACAACTTCATTCGATCATATGCCGAGGCAGGCAAATGGCAGAGTACTTGCACGCGGGTAGGGTCTCGTGACCCGCGACGCCCGGTGATTAGCTGCAGCGGGCCCAGCGCAGTGCGGGACGCGAGCAGACGCACCGGCGCACGCCCCCCGCGCGCACGCGGCCAGGGCAGTGCGTGTCCGGAGCTAGCGTCCAGCACGCCCCGGCGAGCCCATTGATGGGGCGGGGCGGCGCCATGCAACGCCGGGCGCATCGCGTACCGCGTGCAGCGCTCACTGCAGGAAGTCGAGCGGGGCGGGGCTCACCTTGTTGCCGAGGTCCTCGACGATGCGCCTGTCGATGCCGGACAGCTGGTCCTGCGAGAGGCTCTCACGCTCCCGCGCCACCAGCTGCTGGAACTCGCTCTCGGAGCTGGAGCACGTGAGCGACTCCCCGCCGTCCAGGTTGGGGATGGGCGAGTCCCTGCCGCCGACGGCGGGCTGGTCCGCGGCCGCCGGTTGGGGGCGCTGCTGGGGGCCGGGTTGCGCGGGCTGTGCGGTCGCGGCGGGCTGACCCTCCTCCGCCCACCTGCCGGAAGCCTTGGGGGACTTCTGCGTCGTGCTCGAGTCGGGCTGGCCGTAGCGCTCCACGTCCAGGGGCGCGGCCGGCGCCTGCTGGTGCTGGCCCGGCCCCGAGGGCTTGCCGGACGACTGCAGGGACTCGATGGGGCGGAACCGCGGCACGGGGGCGGGCAGCGGGGCCGAGCGGGGAGGGTCGGCGTCCACCTCCATGGCGAGCCCGCGCGGCCCCGGGCCGGCGCGGGGGGCGGCGCGGGGAGGAGCCCCCGCAGGACCGCCCCCCGCCGCGCCCGGCCTGCGCGCCGCCACCGGCAGGGGGATGTGGCTCGCCGTCCGGGACTTGGTCTGCATCGGCATGCGCTTCGACTCGACCGCCAGCTGCTGTTGCTGCTGTTGCTGCTGCTGTTGCTGTGGCTCAGGTTGTTGTGGCTCCTGCTGCTTCTGCTGGATATGCTGCTGGTGTTGTTGGTGTTGCATCTCCTGCTGCTGAGCCAGCTTCTGTTGGAGGAGCAGCAGCTGCTCTTGTTGCAGTTCCTGCTCTTGCTGTCGGCGTTGCCTGTTCTCCAGCTCCTCGTCGTGGTGGTTGGCTAGCGGTGCGGCCGGCTGCGGTTGCTGCGGTTGCTGGTGACGCTGCAGATCGGCGGCCTCGTTCACTTCGTTGATATCTTCCTCGTCCTCCTCTTGTGAGTCGCCGTTCTTCGCTTCTCTCTCCCTCTCCCTCTCTCTCGCTCGCTCTCTTTCCCTCTCCCGCTCTCTTCTCTCCCTTCCCCCGTCCCCGTTCTCCGCTGCGTCGCTGTCCGGGGTTCGCATCTTCACGATCTCACCCCCGAAGCGCACTCTTCTGGCCGTCCTGCGCGGGGTGTCCGGCAAACCCTGAAGCGCTTCCTGAGGCACAACGTCAAGTTCATCATCTTCCTCGTCTGTAAGAACCTGCATCACGAAGGCGTTGCTGTCCGTGTTACGAGCCAAGTCCTCGTCCTCGTCCTCCTCATCTTCCTCGTCTTCGTCGCTGTCCTCCTCATCACCGTCCTCGCTCTCCGTGGACTCTATCGTCGTCCTGGGTGGCTGCTGTTGCTGCTGTTGCTGCTGTTCCTCTTCCAGGATAGTCATTGTGATGGCCGTGTCCGCGTCGAATTTGATCTCGGTCTCCATGACGACCCTCCCAGGCGGCGCGTCGTCGCCCTGCTGCACCGCCACCACGTTCACAGCAACGTCGGCGCCGGCAGTGGACTCCCCGCTGGAGAAGTCGCCCTTGTCGGCGTGCTCATTGCCATTCCAGTCGACGCCCTGCTCGTCGTCGCGCTGCTCTTCGGACCTCTCATAGACCTGGCACAGCACCGCGAAGTCCCTCCTTGTGGCGGCCGGCAGGGTCTCGACCGCGGCGTTGAAGCGGCCCTGGCCCAGGGCGTCCCGCAGGGCCAGCATGGCGGCTAGGGCATGCGGCTGGTAGGTGACCTGCACCAGGCGCCCGGCCAGCGCGCCCACGAGGTGCGCCACGCCCTGCGGAGTGGGCGCCCAGCCCGGGTGCGCTTGCATGGCGCGCGACAGCAGCCCCGGCAGCGCGAGGATGGTGCCCAGCGGGCCCTGGCCCTGCTGCTGGCCCTCCAGGCCCTGCTCCACTACGGCGCGCAGCACGCCCTCGGGGTCCGACGTCCTCCGGAGCTGCGTGGCCAGGGCCTCCGTGGCGGTCTGCCGCACGGCCGGCGCCGCGTGGCCGAGGTTGGCGATGGTCTCGGAGGCCACGCCCGACGACACGAGCACGGCCATGTCGCGGGGCTCGAGCACGGCGATGAGGTCGACGAGCACGCGCAGGGCGTGTTGGCGGACCTCCCATTCCGGGTCGTGCAGCCGCGCCGCCACTTCGGCAAATACGCGATCCTTGTCGAGGGACGCGGGCAGCCGGTGGTACTTGATGACCTGCTGCCAGAGCGGCGTGAGCGACAGCGCCGAGCTGTGTGGCCTTTTCCGGTGCGGGGTGGACGGAAAGAGCACGCGGGGCACGTCATGTTCCTGGCGGTCCTGCTCGGCGTCGTCTTCATCAGTGGAGGACTCGGCCGTCGGCGCCGGCTGCTTGTCTGGCACCACCTCATGGAGGACCTCCATGTTCCTGGCTGTCCGTCGTGCATCCCTCGCCGAAGGCGTCCTGGTCCTGGTCTGGCCGGGGCCCGGGCCGGAGCCGGTACCCGCCGCCGTGGCTGGAGCTTGGAGGGTCGTGCTGTAGGGCGGAGAGCTCAGAGTGGAGGGCTGGCCGGCCCGCGTGGGTCACCATCGCTGCCCGGGCATGTGTCGGGGCACAGCTGTCAACACTCCACTCGACAATCCGATCCGTCAAAACAACGGCCGTGTGTATTCAGAACGCTCCCCGGGGGCGGGCGGCGCGGGGGCTACGGCGGCGGCGTGGGGTGGCCCGGGGACGCAGCGCAAGGGGGCGCGCCTTCCTAGTTCTGCGACGCGAACAAGACTGGGAGGGATGCCGCGGGGGTAGCTCCCCGCTGTTGCGCACCCCTGCCGC